GAACTGCGATACAAATCGAAAGAAAATTGAAGATATGTCATTACTAATTGAGATGTGTCAAAGCGAATTATTGATGTTGGATTATCTGTAAAAGGAAAAATAATTTCTACAAAAGATTTGTAATTGTTTTGTCTTTTAGCTTAGAACATCTTCCGCATTGAAAAAGAAAATGAGTAACACCAGCGCCAACATTACGAATGGTGGTATTACTCCACCTCAGGAAAAGCGTGACCTGCTTGCGCTTCTGAAGCTTATAAAGAAATACAACCTCAAGCAAACAGAGGAGCTTCTATGTCGCGAAGCCAATATCACAAATCAGGAATTGGAGGAAGTGAATGATATTGAAATAAACACACTTCTAACGTCAGCTCTCGTGGATGGACACGACCATCAAAATGGATTGGTAGCAAGTGGTAGTGGTGGATCCGGTAATGACCCAGAAATACATGAAGCGGCTTATGCAGATCTGCGTAATTTCGTCGAGGAGTCTCTAGATATTTATAAACATGAGTTGTCTATGGTTCTCTATCCAATACTGGTACAAATCTATATTAAACTTATTCAAGGAGGATTCGCAGAACAAGCCCGAAAATTTGTGGAGAAATGTGGCCCAGATTTAGATCATTACTACCGCGAAGATTTGCAAAATTTATTAATGATAACCAAAAGGTCTGATCTAGAAAATAACGATTTCGTGACCGCAATGGAGCTAGACAAGTTCGTTATTCGCATGTCACGGGATTCTCATTCGCTATTTAAACGACATATACAAGATCGAAAGCAGGAGGTGATAGCAGATATAGTCGCAAAATTTTTGCATTTTGATACCTACGAAGGAACTGCGCGCAGCAAGTCTCAATGCGATATCAATACTGGATCTTTAGTTGGCGAAGCAAAACGTCAAGATAATAAAATACGCGTTTACTATGGTCTATTAAAAGAAGTTGATTACCAAACGTTGACAACTCCTGCACCTGCGATGGTGGAAGAAGAAGATGATAATGATCCTGATGCACCCGACAAGCCTAAAAAGAAAAAACCCAAAAAAGATCCGCTTTTCTCCAAAAAATCAAAGTCCGACCCTAACGCACCTGCTAGTGATCGAATTCCACTGCCCGAAATGAAAGATGCCGATAAAATGGAAAAAGTAAAAGCTTNAAGTCCGATCCTAACGCACCTGCTAGTGATCGAATTCCACTGCCCGAAATGAAAGATGCCGATAAAATGGAAAAAGTAAAAGCTTTGCGTGAATCTTCCAAACGCGTACCACTAAATAAAGATTCACTTCCGTCAGTTTGTTTTTATACGATACTCAATGCACATAATACCGTTACATGTGCTGAAATTTCAGAAGACTCTACCATGATGGCTGTGGGTTTTACCGATTCCAGCATTAAAGTATGGTCCCTTACCCCAGCGAAATTGCGAGAAATGAAGAGCGCAGAGTTACTTAAAGATATAGACAAAGATGCTGAAGACATCAACACTCGCATGATGGATGATAGGACAGGCGAGGCATCCCGTACGTTCTATGGTCATAGCGGGCCGGTCTACCGCTGCGCCTTTGCCCCAGAAAAAAATTTATTGCTGTCCTGCTCCGAAGATACCACAATTCGTCTGTGGTCGTTCCATACGTGGACATGTGTTGTTGTTTATAAGGGTCATCTCTTCCCCGTTTGGGATGTTCGTTTCTCTCCACACGGTTATTATTTTGCGTCATGCTCATATGATAAGACGGCTCGACTTTGGACAACGGATTCGAATCAACCACTGCGGATTTTTTGCGGTCATCTATCGGATGTGGATTGCGTCCAGTTTCATCCTAATTCGAATTATATTGCCAGTGGTTCAAGTGACCGCACAGTTAGATTGTGGGATGTCCNGGTTATTATTTTGCGTCATGCTCATATGATAAGACGGCTCGACTTTGGACCACGGATTCGAATCAACCACTGCGGATTTTTTGCGGTCATCTATCGGATGTTGATTGCGTACAGTTTCATCCTAATTCGAATTATATTGCCAGTGGTTCAAGTGACCGCACAGTTAGATTGTGGGATGTCTTAAACGGACAATTAGTGCGGCAAATGTGTGGTCACAAGGGGCCTATTTACTCCTTGGCATTCTCTACGTGTGGGCGTTATTTGGCATCTGGTTCTTCAGATCACACCGTCCTTATATGGGATTTGTCGCATGGCCAACTTGTAGCATCACTGTTACGACATACAGGTTCAATACATACGATGTCCTTCAGTCGGGATGGAAATATATTAGCTGTTGGTGGTTTAGACTGCGTGCTGACTTTGTGGGACTTTTCGAAACTCACTGAGGATTACTTGGCACAGACCGGAGCATCCTCACACAATCCCGACCTAAACGACAGTGAAACATACCTGCTCCGCTCATTTCCAACCAAATCCACTCCCTTCCTTGCGCTGCATTTTACACGCCGAAACTTATTATTAGCAGTTGGCATGTTCAAGTCATCCTAAAATGGCAGGTAGTGGTGGGGTGAATAGATTTAAGTGATTCATTACATTAATACATATGAAGTATTCATTTTAATGTGTAATAAAGTGACTTTACATGGTAAAATAAAATATTCAATGCCTAATTTGCATATTCCATTTGTACACACTCTTCAGCAGCAACATGAGTGGGAGAAGAGCCGTCTACAATGTGATCATTTGATTCGCTATCTAAGGATGGCTCGTTGCTAAACATTTCTGTTGGCACAGTGGCAGGAGCACGATCTTGTACAAACTCCATGACATTTTGCCTCGATTGCAAATGACGTTCAACTTCCGCTGCGGTCATTTGTATTTGCCGCGGTTTCTCCACGTCAGAAACTGCGACTTGCTGAGGTTGCTGGACCCGTTCGGTATGTTGTTTGAGAGTTTGTGAAATTTCATT